GACTTATATATTCTTTTTTATTGTGGTGAAATATGTAACAGAAAATTTGCCATATTAACTACTTTAAGCATACAATTCAGTACCATTATATCCACCACGTTGTGCAACCATCACCACCGTCTATTTCCAAAACGTTTTCATCACTCCAAAAAATAAACACTCTGTAACAAGCAATCGCTTCCCATTCTCCTTTTATCCCAGCTGCACCATTTTACACTCCCATTAGCAAGGATCCCAATTTCTCCACATTCTTGATAACACTTTTTTTTTTAATTTCAGCCATCCTGGGTATGTGTAAAGTGGTATCTGTTTGATTTTCATTTCCCTAATGAAAAATGATGCTGAACATCTTTTCATGTGCTTATTAGCTGTTTTATCCTCTTTTTAGACAAATGTGTACTCAAGTCTTTACCCAATTTTTAATCAGGTTTGTTGTTGTTGAGTTGTAGTGCTTCATACATTCCGGATACTAGACCCTTATCTGATATATGATCTGCAAATATTTTCTCCAATTCTCCAATTCCACTTTCTTGATAACATCCTTTGATGCACGTAGCTTTTTATTTTGATGAAATCCAACTGACCTGTGAACAGAGATGGTTTTACTTCTTTCTTTCCAATATGGATGCCTTTTTTCTTTTTCTTGTCTAATTTCTTTAGTTAGAACTTTCAGGACAATGTTGGATAAGAGTAGTAGTAAAAGCAGGCATCCTTGGTCTTGTTCTTGATCCTAGGGACAAAGCTTTCAGTCTTTCACCATGGAGTATGATGTCAGCTGTGGGTTCTTCACAAATGCTATCATACTGAGGGACTCTTCTGTTCCCAGTTTTCTGAATGTTCGATTATGAAAGGCGTTGCATTTTGTCAAATGTCTTTTGTATCTATTGAGAAGATTGTTTTTTTCCTTTTTAAAATTTTTATTTTTTAAATATTTAATTCGTTTATTTGTGAGACAGAGAAGTGTGCACAAAAGCAGTGAGAGTGGCAGGCAGAGGGAGAAGCAGGCTCCCCGATGCGCAAGGAGTCCTCTGAGGGACTCAATCCCAGGACTCTGGGATCATGACCTGAGCCAAAGGCAGATGCTTAACTGACTGAGCCACCCGGGCATCCCTCCTCCTTTCTTTCAATGTGGCTTATTGGCTTCACTGACTTTATGTTAATCATTGCTGCATTCCTCGAATAAATCCCAATTAGTCATAGTGTATAATCCTTTTATATGCTATTAGTCTGATTTGCTCGTATTTTGTTGAGAATTTTTACATCTGTATTCACAGAGGATATTAGCCTGTAATTTTCTTTTCTTTTTTCTGACTTTGGTATCAGGGCAATGCTGACCTCAAAGAATGAGTTAGGAAGTGTTCCTTCCTCCTTAATTTTCTGGAAGACTTTGAGAAGGTCTCGTGTTAATTCTTTAAATGTTTGGTAGCATTCACTTAATGAGGTCTTCTGGTCCTGGAGTTTTCTTTGTTGGAAGGTTTTTTTGTTTTGTTTTTAAAGTAGGCTCCATGAACACTGTGGAGCCCAATGTGGGGCTCAAATCCTGAGATCAAGACCCTGTGCCAAAATCAAGAGTTGGACACTTAACCAGCTGAGCCACCCAGGTGTCCCATGTTGGAAAGTTTTTGATTACTGATTCAATCTCTACTTGTTACAGGTTTGTTGAGATTTTCTTGGGCCAATTTAAACAATTTGTTCATTTCTAGGAATTTGTCTATTTCGGCGACATTATCTAATCTGTTGGCATACAGCTGTAGATAGGGTTCTCTTATGATTCTATTTCTGGAAGGTTGGTAGTGATACCTTGACTTGTATTTCTGATTTTAGTCATTTGCATCTTTTCCCCCCCCAGTCTAGTGTGGTTTTAATTTTAAGTGTGGGAGCAAAGCATTGTGAGATGCTGCAGACACCACTGGCTCTGTAACAGCTGTTTTCCCCACCTCATGCTTTGGTGCAGAACCCTGGTTTTGTTTAGGCACTGACCCCTTTCTCATAGGACTCAAGAATAAATCATGAGTAGTTTAAGCCAATCACAGTGTAGTGGTCCTACTCTGCTTGCCAGTCACTGATTCAGAAGTCACCAAATGACCTAGCTCTGGCCAATGAGACTCCGAGATAGCAGGCTGGGTGGGTCCTGAGAAAGGTTCCCTGTCATTAAAGATAAAATACGGAGCTTGGAAAGGAAGTCTTTCTTCTGCTGGACAATATGAAATCTGCATGTGTATTTCAAACCATGGCAGCATTCTTACAACCACCTGGGAGCTGGTCAAAGTCAAAACCAGCACCGAGGACAGAGAAGCAGATATATGGAAAAAATTTAGTTCCTTTTTTTTTTTTTAAAGATTTTATTTATTTATTCATGAGACACAGGGAGAGAGAGACAGAGAGAGAGAAGCAGAGGGAGAAGCAGGCTCCCAAGGAGCAGGGAGCCCGATGCGGGACTCAATCCCAGGACCCTGGGATCATGACCTGAGTCGAAGGCAGTCGCTTAACCAACTGAGCCACCCAGGCGCCCCTGTTTAGGGGTATTTTAACAATATATAGCTGGATTTCATTTTTTAACCCTCTTGGTAGATACCACCTTTACATAGAGGAACTGAACCCATTCACATGTACTGTGATGTTATATTTTGTTTTAAGCTTTTCATACTATTTTTCATTTGTCATTAGTTAGCTTTTTTTCATTTATCATACGTAGTTATTTCCTCTCTTCTCTTTGTTTTTACCTAGTTAGGACAATTTTCCAATCATTCTTACCCCTACTCCCACTACCCTAATTTAAAATGTCTATCATATTTTCCATTATATAAGTCATTATGTATCTATCCCTAGCACTGATAATGTTTGAACATTAAATAATGATAGACATTCCTACTCCACTCACCAAGATGAGACCTTTATAATACCCTCTTGTACCACTACATTTTCTCAAATGTTTATTTTTTAAAAGGCTATCATATATGCCCAATATAAAGCAACCTGAATATAGTAACAAGAGCCTCCACTTTCTACCCAAAAAGGTTTTTTTTTGGCTAACTTGAAAATATCAAGTATTAGGGATATATAGGATAACATTTTTAAACTTACAATATTTAAATCATCTTTATGTTATGTTATATATACCTATCTAAAATCTAAAATTTTTAAAAATTTAAAAAATTTTTAAGTTTTTTCTCCTTGCAATTTATGAAATAATATTATCCAAACTATCCACATACATCTAAAAACATTTACCTTCATCATCACCATAACTAGTTTTTGAGTCATCTAACAGTTTTTCAGGGTAAAATGTTTATACTTGTTTGAAAATCAGCACTTTTTGAGTCTGGTATGATGTTGCCAGAAATTTTATCCAAAATACCATAACCATTTGCAAAGCATTAAAATTGCTGGGCTTTTCTGACTTACCTAAGGCAAGTAGATATCCACAATCTCCACAACCAAACCCCTAAGGCAAGTAGATATCCATAATCTCTACAACCAAACCACTTATTGCATCCCGTTTTAAAGGAGCATTTAAAAAAAGGCAGTTAAGGGGGTGCCTGGCTGGCTCAGTTGGAAGACCACGCAACTTGATCTCTGCTGATCTTGGGGTCATGAGTTCAAACCCCGTGTTGGGTATAGAGATTATGAAAATACCCATAAACTTTAAAAAGGGAGTTAATAGAAATATCTAACATAACTGTAAGATTATGACCTCCAGAATAATTCTGAATGTGTTAAATCCCATTATTCCCTCAAAATGAAAATTGTGCCAGGTGGTCTCTATGAGCTTCCTGACACTGGCACTGGCTGAGTTTTCAGGCTAACATTTCTTTCTCAAACAGTACTGTGTTGTTCAAAATGATACACTTAAAAGAACATCACATTACATGAGGGGCTTCGTAAGGCAACTCTCTTTACTAAAGGTTCATTTTCAGGGAAAAAAACCTTACCTGACATTTTATAGTATGTGGTAACTGAGAATTTCTGTTTTGTGTTATTTCTAAAATCTCCCTTTCATTTCCAGTTTGAAAAAAAATCCTTACTTAAGACATACTACAAATTCCCAATTTGTTCTTCATTCTCTTTCTACTTCATTTACATGTAACTATATATTACAATATTCACTGCTTACCACCATTTCTGTATCTTCTCCTATCTTGAGAAGTGTTATTACTGAGCTTTTATTTGGTTAGAGAAATTCCTTGAGTATTTTCCTCAGCTCAAAAACATGGAAGTATACTGCATCCTTATATATTTGAAAATTCTTTATTTTACCCAGAAGTTGGTGAAGTATAGTGTTTTCTCTCAGTAACAGAGACACTTCTACTACCTTCTAGCTTCCAATTTCTATGTATTCTTTGATTTTAGGACATTCAATTGTGTAGGGCTCAGAGTTTTTTTTAAATCTAGAATCAAGTCTTTCCCTCACCAGTTCAGGAAGTTCGCTGTCACACTTAAAATTCCAAAAATACACCAATACCATAATTGTGGCTATTTCTGGGTAATAGGATTATAGATAATATTGATTCTCTTCATAATTTTCTGTTACATGCATAGAAAAAATAAAGACAGTAAAAACAAAGAGTTACTTCTAGACTTGCTTGCCTTTCCTTTAAGTACATCTGTTAAAAAAAAGAAAAGTTATTTATAAGTAAAATCCTAATCTTCTTATACACAATTCGAGAAATGTCAACAGCAAGGGTAAAAAAATGACACCCAAGGAAAACATATATTTATTTTACCAGCATCCGGTGCCTAGCACAGTTCTGAGTACATTGAGGCATTCGATAAACAGTTGGTGAGTGAACACAACACACAAGCTCTATGACAAGGCAAAAAATATTACGCTAAGATGACTATAGCAAGTTAACTATATTTTGGAGATGAGAGAGAGGAGTCCAGACTAATGAAACTGTGACATATAAATATCACCGCAGAGGTTTATTCAAGTAGGCGTGTAAGAGCTAAAACTATAAAAGCCACTAAGGACCATTACAGTAGGATCTGTTCCGACTTACCTCACACAACATTCTACTGCACGAAACCAATGAAGCATCTCATCATGTAGAGTACACAACTGAAGACAGGACAGAAAAACTTTCTCAGCATCACTGTACCAGCCTGCATCTGAAAGAAAGCCACCTAAAGGACAAGAAAACCAGGTACTTTAAATAATTTAATAAATCACTTAAAAGCTAAAGTGACATGCTTAAAATGAATATCATCTAAAATGAAAACACTCATAATATTAAAGTCCTGTGTCTGGCCCAAAATAAAGATACTGTGAAATAAAAAACAAAACAAAACAAAAACTTTTAAACTGGGGGAATTAGATCAAAGTTGAGGCCTTGAATAAGGAGTCAAGAGTTTTAACCCTCTAAAAATACTCCATAGCCTAAGAAATGACATTTTCCAGTTAATTAGCCATATATTCTAATGATCCAAACATTTTCAAGTTGCAGGGTAAACGTAACTTTTCAACTCTCCATACCCAATTTCAAAGAATATCTCAATAAAGCTATCTTTAAAAAAATTATCTCTATCACTGTATACTTTTGGTATGAAGTTTTTTTCACTGTTTTGGTAATTTTAGGATCCAGACCAAAAATGTAATTATGAGTTTGTTAGAACTTGGTTCTATCGCCAAGATATTTCTTCAATCTGGCTCGTTACAATGGCCAGATACTGATATAATAAATGTTTGTGGAGATGACAGAGGACCTCAATGAACACTAACCTTCCTGCCTTTCACTTTTATTGATTCTAAAGTTGTTCTCCCACAGATTTTTACACGACCGTCTAGGACTAAAGGGATGCCAACCTTAACATTCATCAAGATCACACTCCCTTGTTAGAGACATTCTCTGGTCACAATTTTTGGTTGCAGTTTATATTCCATGGGACTACCAAAGGATAAATGCTGAGTGGCTTTTTTTTGTAGAAAAAAAAGTTCTGAAGTTCCTCCAGCAACTATGAATACAAAGAATTATTCTAAGACTAAAGGAAATGATCGTGAAAATGTGTTGGGCAAAGAAAATATATGTGCACGTGTAAAAGAGCTAAAACATGCACATGCAAGTGAGAAGTTAAACATGAGAGTCTGGGGGCGCCGGGTGGCTCAGTCGCCAGGCATCTGCCCTCGGCTCAGGTCATGATCCCAGGGTCCTGGGATCGAACCCTGCATCGGGCTCCCTGCTTGACAGGGGGCCTGTTTCTCCCTCTCCCTCTGCCGCTCCCACTGCTTGTGCTCTCCTGCTCTCTCTCTGCCAAATAAATAAATTAAATCTTTAAAAAAAAATTTTTTTAAAAGAAAACAAGAAGGGTAGCAACAACTTAATAAGTAGTTGCCTGAAACGTACTTATCTATGTAGATTTGTAAACAGCATATAAAATATTATATAAACCATAAACATTTTTCTCTATGTAACATATAAAGACTTCGCAGATTCCTTTCCCATGTATGTTTTTGGTATTTTCCTAACATCCCCCGTGAGGAAGTACAAGTTTACCCTTATTTTAGAGCCTGAAAACTGAGGCCGCAGAAGGATGAAGTCCCATGTCACAGCATATGGTAAGCTGGTGAAAGAGGCTGCTGGCAGCATGACACGTAGCAAAATTTATATGGTAGGGATGGAAAGACACAGGAGTCTAAATTTACAGTACACTACCAGCTCTGTGCCTAGAGCAAGTTACTTAATTTTTCTGAATCCTTCCTCATTTGTAAAGTGCTATTAATGCCATCACAATACTGAAATGTTGTGAGGATTTAGAAAGATAACATTTACGGGCACCTGGGTGGCTCAGTTGGTTAAGTGTCCCACTCTTAATTTCAGCTCAGGTCATGATCTCAAGGTTGTGAGACTGAGTCCCTTGTCAGGGGCACAGAGATTCTCTCTCCCACTCCCTCTGCCCGGCCCCCTCCCCCAAGATAACATTTAAATGCCTACTGTAGGGGCACCTGGGTGGCTCAGTCGGTTAAGCGTCTGTCTTCAGCTCAGGTCATGATCCCAGGTCCCTGGGATAGAGCCCCACATCGGGCTCCCTGCTCAGTAGGGAGCCTGCTTCTCATTCTCCCTCTGCTGCTCCCCCTGCTTGTGCTCTCTTGCTCTTCTCTCAAATAAACAAATAAAATCTTCAAAAATAAATAAATAAATGCCTACTGTAGCGTTTGGCCCAAAGTTAACATCCAATAAATCACACCTAATTTTTCTGATGTTTTTCTCATAACCTCCTTATGTAGACTTTGGGAATGCCCTGGTTGAATCCTTTACTGTTAGTAGGTTTAATACGAGTCATACTATAGGACAAAATACTCCTCTATTTTACGATTACCTACCTAAAACAAAGCCAACCTGAATGGCTTTCTCTTTTACCGCAGCATCCGATTCTGCTATGTAAGAGCACCGTCTACTGAATGAGTAGGCCAAGACTGAAGCAACTTTCACACCGTGATCCATCAAAGCCTGGAAACAATGGTGAAGCAAATGTCTGCAAGATAAGAAAAGGCTATTTCATAAAGGTAACATATTTTATAGTTTTAGAAAGTGCTAGCTTGCTTTTTAAAACATAACAGTACCATTACTTTCCAAGACGGAACAAGATAAAAAACCTTCTGCCTTATGAATTATGAGGCTACAATAATCCACAATTTAGCCTAATATCTTTATTCAGTAGATTACTGAGTGATTCTTTATGTGTAAACTAATGGCAGTAAACAGTAAAACTAACTTTTAAAAACCAAATCATCTTATAATTCAACAATAACCCAATTTAAAAATGGGCAATGGATTTGAATAGAGATTTCTCCAAAGAAAATATACAAATGACCAATAAGCACATGAAAAGATGATCAACATCATTAATCATCAGGGATATGCAATCCAGAATCACAACGAGATATCATTTCACACCCTGTAGGATGTGATTACTATTCTAAGTGATGGCAAAATATGTGAACATTGGAACTCTCATACATTGATGGTAGGAATGTAAAATGGTACTGCCACTATGGAAAATAGTTTTGAGGTTACTAAAAAAGTTAAACATAGGGTGATATGTATATACCCTAGTTACATATACAAGAGAACTAAAAACATTTGTCCACACAACATCTTGTCCATAAATGTTCATGGCAGCATTAGCAGAAGAGCCAAACAGCCAAAATGTTCATCCACAAATGACTAGAAAAACAAAACACAGTATATTCATACAATGGAAATTATTCAGCCATAAAAGGAAAGAAGTACTGATACAAGCAACAACATGAATAAACCTTCAAAACATTATAAGTAAAAGAAGCCAGTCACAAAAGACCATATATTGTATGATTCCCTTTATATGAAGTGTCTAGAACAGGTAAATTCAGAGACAGAAAGTCGATTAATAGTAGTCCAGGGTAAGAGGAAATAGGAAGTGATTGTTAATGGGTACAGGATTTCTTTTTGGAATGATGAAAATGTTCTAGAATTAGACAGTGGTGATGGTTGCAAAACCTTGTGAATACAACCAAAAGCCACTGAACTGTACAATTTAAAATGGTGAATGTGGTGGTATGTGAATTATATCCCAATAAAAAATTTTTAAATAGAAAGATTGTAAATAACGGAATCACTGCTTTGGATAATGGGGGGAAAAGTCAAACTACATGCTTTTAGTTTCACAAATATATTTAACACTTAGCAAGGGATCTGGACTTGGTGAAAGATAACCTGAGAGATGAGAGAGAGGTATTCCACTAAATCTTTACAATGGCCATGTTTAGAATTGTATAGAGAAATTCAAATCCCAGAAAGCTGATCTTTTCTTAAAGAATGTTTTTAAAAAGTTTTTCTGTAGCCTTCTTTTACCAAAATGAAGTTCTCATTTATGTGTTTTTTTTTTTTACGGATTAATTTTAATTATTCAACTAAAAGTTTCTCTATAGTACAAAGGCCACATTTCAAAGTTACCCCTGAACAGTGAAATTATGTTATTTACTTGTTTACTATTTTATCATTCTTCTCTAAAATAAAAAATCTACAGGAAGAGATGTTGTAGATCTTATTCACTGCCATAATCCCAGCATCTTGAACAGTACCTAAACCTAACACATTAGGCATTCAACAAGTATATACTTAATTTGTTGAACAAATGGAACAATTTGGCAATATTCATATTAGAAATCAGCAATATTTTATAAAAACTACATTCTTATTTTCCTAGGGTTAGGAAAAACGAATGGCTTTTAAAGCAAATTTTGGGAAGACTGCTAAAGAGAATAGCAAGTATGATCAAAGGTTGTGTCACTATACCTGTATGTGGAGGCTCTTACTATATGGTAACAGCTACAATGGGAAAGATGAATTCAATCTCCTTCTCTTGAACACAAAAAACAAGGAGGTACTGATGGTTTCACAACAATGGGAATGCACTTAATGCCACTGAAGTAAACTTAAGAAGTTACAATGGTACAATTCAGGTATGTATAGTTTACCATAATTTTTAAGAAAAAGTAATTTTACCTTTTATCCAAAGCTCTCAATACTTTAGCAAAAACTTCCAATTCACAAAATTCACTGCCCAGTTGACATAAGCGTCCCTGTTGGTAAAGCTGAAATGAAAATGAAAAAGGGAATTTAAAAATGTTAATTTAAATTTCTACTTTAGTTATACTTATGGATATAATTTGATGGGCCTAATATTTGATTATTTAATGGATACTACCCAAAGTCAGTATTATCACACAGCAGGATCAGGAAGCATACTTCTGCTAAGAGAAATATAACACTAAATTAACAATTTTTTTTAGAGGGGGTAAGGGGCAGAGGGAGAGAGACAATCCTAAGCAGGCTCCACGCCCAGTGTGGAGCCTGACACAGGGCGCAATCTCACAAACCTGAGATCATGACCTGAGCCCAAACCAAGAGTCACATGCTTAACTGACTGAGCCACCTAGGCACCCCTAAATTAACAAATTTCCACAATTCATATAAAACATTTTAATAGTTGTATATAAAGTTAAAATTAATATTTATAAAATAGTATCTGGTTCATGTTAAATACTACAAAGTGCTATATAATTATTTATTAAATAAATTTTATAAGTTATGGGGCACCTGGGTGGCTTAGTTGGTTAAGTATCTGCTTTTGGCTCAGGTCATGATCTCAGGGTCCTGGGATCAAGCCCCATGTCAGGCTCACTGCTCAGTTATGCTTCTCCCTCTCTCTCTGCTCTTCCCCCTGCTCATGCTCTCTTTCTCTCTCTCTCAAATAAATAAAATCTTTAAATAAACATAGAAAGTTATATTCAAGAAACTTATAAAATTAACTTTTTTCCTTAAACAAAACTGGATAGGGGCGCCCGGATGGCTCAGATGGTTAAGCGTCTGCCTTCGGCTCAGGTCATGATCCCAGGGTCCTGGGATCGAGCCCCGCATCGGGCTCCCTGCTCCCCAGGGTGTCTGCTTCTCCCCCTCCTTCCTGCTCAAGCTCTCTCTCACTCTCTCTCAAATACATAAATAAAATATATAAACAAAACTGGATACTTAATGTAAAATTATCCAAATAATAGCACAGATAATGTCCAGAAGCCAGAATGGTCAATAGGCCCACTAAAAGGCTCCTCAGATCACCACAAGTATCTCAGTTCAGTTCTAACAGACATCTAAAGTAATCCAGGAAGGGGCGCCTGGGTGGCTCAGATGGTTAAGCGTCTGCCTTCGGATCGAGTCCCGCATCGGGCTCCCTGCTCCTTGGGAGCCTGCTTCTCTCTGTCTCTCTCTCTCTGTCTCTCATGAATAAATGGTGGCTCAGTCGGTTGGGTGTCTGCCTTTGGCTCGGGTTGTGGTCTCAGGGTCCTGGGATCGAGCCCCGCATCGGGCTCTTTGCTCAGAGGGGAGTCTGCTTCTCCCTCTCACTCTCCCTCTGTTCTCTCTCTCAAATAAATAAATAAAATCTTTATAAAAAAATAAAATAAAATAAAATAAATAAAAATAAAGTAATCCATGAGGGCACGTGGGTGGCTCAGTCGGTTAACCATCTGCCTTCAGCTCAGGACATGATCTCATGGGTCCTGGGATCAAACCCCAGATTGGGCTCCCTGCTCAGTGGGGAGTCTGCTTCTCCCTCTCCTTCTGCCCCTCCCCCTTTGTGCTCTCTTGTACTCCCTCAAATAAAATCTTTAAAAAAAATAAAGTGAATAAAGTAATCCAGGATGAAAAAATAAAAACAAAAATAATCCAAGGTGGCAGGATTTCTAATCATGTCACAATCATTTATTTTGCCTGACTTTTTAGAACTTTTGTTCTAAAAATTTATTTATTTGAGGGAGAGAGAGAGCGCGCGTGCACAAGAGTGAGTGGGGGAGGGGAAGAGGGAGAGGGAGAGGATCTCAATCCAACTCCACACTGAGTGAGGGAGGGGCCCGATCTCATGACCTGGAGGTCATGACCTGATCTTAAAGCAAGAGTCAGGCACTCAACTGACTGAGCCACCCAGGCACCCCTAGAACTTCTTTTAAAAAATAACATTTTAGGGGTACCTGGGTGGCTCTGTAGAACATGCAACTCGATCTTGGGGTTGTGAGTTCAAGCCCCACACTGAATGTAGGAATTACTTAAAAATAAAATCTTAAATAAAAAAGAAAGAAAAGAGAAAAATAACATTTTAACAAATGTGTTAAATGTTTATCACCATTAATACATGCACCCAGTTAAAAAGAGACAAATACTACTACCCCATTCCAGCTTCACCAAATGCTTTTGAATTTATATGTTTTATAAATACAGTGCCTTAGAAGGCTGGAATTTTGTTTTATTAATTCACTTTATAGGCATTTAACTCTTAGCTCAGTTGACAGAACATGGGTTTCAGAAAGAAGACAACATAAATTTAGAATTCATTTGCCAAACTGGCCAGTTAACTTTGTGCTGGGAAAATATACCACAAACTCGTCAGCTAGTTCTTGGGTATAAATCAATAGTCATAATGGAAGCCAGGTCAAATTAGGTAGATACTTTAATGCGAATCAATAATGACAGCTGTGAAAAATCCCTAACTGCTGAAGGGGGGAAGAGACAAGGGACCACCACATGCCCTGGAAGGGAAGGGAGAAATGTTATTTTTACATTAAAATGGTTAGACAGTCATATTATCAGTAAATCTTTATAAGGAAAGATTTGCTAATTTTGGAGATTATGTTTTCTGCTATAGAAAGAGTTTCCAGGAATGTACACAGTAAAATTCAGTATTATTAATCATTGTCATACTTACTTTGACTATTAACCAATAGAGACTAACTCAGGGAAAATAAATCTAAGTATTTATAACCTAATTCCTACTTAGGGGCTTAACAATGTGATAAGTTTTTAAAAAAAAACAAACAATGTGATAAGTTTTTGATCTGGGCAGAAAAACAAATGCAGTTAACAAAATAAATATATACACATACTCCAAAAAAGGAATAGAACAAAAAAATTTTCACTTACCAAAATAACTCATCATTAGCAAACTTAAGGCTTAGAATTTCTTTTAAGATAGGAGAAATGAAAACAAGTTGTACAACTTTTTTTTTTTTAAAGATTTTATTTATTTATTCATGGGGGGGCACAGGGAGAAGCAGGCTCTCAAGGAGCAGGGAGCCCGATGAGGGACTCGATCCCAGGACCCTGGGATCATGCATGACCTGAGCCGAAGGCAGATGCTTAACCATCTGAGCCACCCAGGCGCCCCAAGTTGTACTTTTTTGCCTATACTCACTAGTCAAATAAAGACAAATAACCTTCTATGTTCTACAACTCACAATATCCTTTTAATGACTAAAAATTGATATATCCTACTAAATGGGATTTTTTAAAATAATTTTTTATTGTTATGTTAATCACCATACATTACATCATTAGTTTTTGATACTAAATGGGATTTGAAACTAAAATTTAGAGAAGTTGCTTCCTTAGTCACAATTACAAATATATCGTAAATATGCCCTTATCAACAAAACCCCCCCTTTACTCAGCTGTTCAATTTTTCTAGCTAAAAATGGGTTCACATTTAAATTCTGGGAAGAGGGTAATGACTTAATTGTTTCAAATTATCCTTATCAGGCTTATGCAAAAAATGCAAATTTACACATTCTATGAACAGGATTTCTGGATATTGATTCAGAATAAAAACAGCATTTAATGCTTACAAAGATCTAACATTTGCCAGGCACTGTTCTAAGTGCTTTTCATAAGGAACTCATTCTATCCTTTCACAGTTAAGGAAATTGAGGCATATAAAGTTAAATAACCTGCTCAAAATCACACAATTAAAAAGTGGTAAAGTACAAATCTGGCCCCAGGCAGCCTGTCTTTACATCCACGTTCTTAATAACTTACACTAGACTGCCTCTTGAAGATAATCTATCAAGAAGAGTACATAAAAAAGGGTAATGTTTAACATTTTATAGAATAGAAGATTTAAACAATAATTCCTTCATAGATTCATTCAGCTTATGGAGCAGAGTTTGGAGAAAAGGAAACTGAGGCTCCAGATTCCTTGGCAATGATTCTGTTTAGATTTCTAAAATTTTGACTTATTTCATTATTACAGTGCTTCATATTCTTTTTTTAAAGATTTTATTTATTTGGGCACCTGGGTGGCTCAGCAGGCTCCTTGGGAGCCTGCTTCTCTCTCTGCTTCTCTCTCTCTCTCTCCCCCTCTCTCTCTCCGTCTCTCATGAATAAATAAATAAAATCTTTAAAAAAAAAAAAAAGATTTTATTTATTTGCCAGAGAGAGAGAGAACGAAAGTGAGCACAAGCACACACAAGCAGGGGGTAGTGGCTGGCAGAGGGAGAAGCAGGCTCCCTGCTGAACAAGGAGCCCCATGCGAAACTTGATCCCAGGACCCTGGGATCATGACCTGAGCCCAAGGCAGCCCATGAATAATGAGACTATTAAAGGACTCTTATCAATTACTTTTAGCTATTTATTGGTTCTTTAAGGAAAATAAGGAAAAATAATTTATTTTTAGAAGTAGGTAAATTACCTCCCAACAGATATGAAAACAGACAATAAAATACAACTAGAACAGGGGCGCCTGGATGGCTCAGTCGGTTAAGGGTCTGACTCTTGATTTCGGCTCAGGTCACGATCTAAGGGTTGTGAGATCAAGCCCCACATGGGGCTCATGCTGGGCGTGGAGTCTGCTTAAGATTCTCTCTCTCTCTCTCTACCCCTCTCTCCTGCTTAAAAAATAAAAAAACAAAAAAACCCCGACCTAGAACAATAATGTACAGGCATGAACATAGACTAACCAATGTAACAAAATGTAAAGTTCAAAAGCAGACCTCAGTATGTGTAAAAAAAATTAACATATTATGAAAGAAAAAAATTTTAAATCACTGAAGTAGCTAATAAAGACTACATACAAATGGGGAAACAAAGTAAGATGCCTCCTGACAAAATATAGCAAAAATAAATTTCAGACTTAAATCACAGTAGTGTTAAAAGTCACCTGATAAACACTGCCTTTTGAAACATTGTATCACAGGCAATATTCATAAAATAAGAGATTACATAAAACCCTAAAATACCCATAAATATTATAAACAATTATAAATACAATAAA